CCCGCGCAGAGCCGGCCCCGCTGCCCCGCCGCGGCGGGGGCACCCCCGGCCCCCTCCCCCGAGGAGCGGCTGCCTCCGCGGAGGGCAGGTTTCGGGGCGCTCGGTGCCTATTCAAGCCCGGCTGCGCGCACGCACGGCGCCCCGCGGCAGCGGCTGGAGCGCAGCATCGCGCGGCGCAGCCAGGTCTGCCGCTCCTGCCCTGGCTCCGGCGGGGATGGCGAGGCAGCGAGGGGCTGGCGTTAAACGGAGGGCTGGGATTGGGGGTGGGATTGGGGCCGGGAGCGGCGCGGGGATGGGATGGAGGGAGAGACCCTCTGCTGGAGCCAAGGAAGAGATAGGCCCCCCGAACCCTGCCGTGTGATGGGGCGGCTGCTACCAGCAGCTCACAGGCACCTACAGCTGAAAATAGTAATTTCCATCCTTATTCACTTTACTTTCGGGAGTTCACTGCTGAACACCGAGTCACATCGTGCCCTGGGCACTCCTAGGGCTTAGGCACAGGCAGGGAAACCATTCCGGGCACAATTCTAAGAGCTGCCACCCACAGCTAACTTCTTGACCCAAAATGCTAAAAGGAGGGGGAGCCCAAGGCTCTGAATAGGGATCAGCTCAGTCCGGATCAGACACCTGGGCTGGAATTCGCACAGGAAAAGGAGAGCAGTGACCACCCGGACAGAGCCCCTGTGCGGCCACCAGCGCAGCCTCGGGCAGTCACGCAGCGGGGCTGGCACTGCCGGCTGCCGCCGAGCCCTGCCCGCTCCCGGCGCTGCCGCCGCCGCTCCCGCCCGGCCCCGCTGGCCCGCAGGGGGCGGTGTTGGACCGGCGGCGGCTGCGGGCGCTCCGGGGCTGCCCCGGGCACGGCCGCGCTCCCGCTCCGAACCGCGGCGGGAGCGCCGCTGTGCGTCTGAAACAACCGCCCGGCCTTTCATTTTAAATACTACGAGAGCGCTGGAGAGTTATAATTGCGGGAGTATTATCGGTGATGGTTTTGCCCGACGTCTGGGAGAAATGATGCATCTGACTCCATTGATATCAGGCTGATTAATTACTTTATTATACTATATTATATTACACTACATTACATTACATCTAAACTAAATCTGCACAAGCACCCAACTCAACTGCACAGCATCTTGTGACTGTCAGCCGACAGTCTGCACACACACTTGGCCCTGACAGACAAGGAAACAAAACCCCATCCCTCTGGGTAAACGACCTCCACATTGCATTCTGCTTGGGCACAACACAGGAGCAGCGAATGAGATAAGAATTGTCTTGATCATTCTTTTCTCTGCTTCTCTCAGGTTCAGAGAGTGTGAATCCCACAGAGTATGAAAGTTTCTTAGGGGCCAAGATGTCCTCAGGACTCAGCCTGATGGGATAGTCAGAAATTTCTTCACTGAAAGACTGGTCATGCACTGGAAGAGATTGGCTTTGGGAGATTTAAAAGGCACGTGTGTGTGGCACTTGGGGCATGGGTTGTTGGTGTGCTTGGCACTGCTGGGTCAATGTGCTTAAAAGATCTTTTCTAACCTGAACTATGCTATGGTTCTGGAGTAATCACTGAAGGATTGCACATGGCAGTCCTTGACTGCAAGAGCACCACCCTGGGAGCCAACAGAGACAGCACCAGCTTGCAGCAAATACTCCTCCTCAGCTGTTCACAGCCTGAGCCAGAAATGAGCTTGAGAGGACCCTGTATCTCAACAGAGAAAGGGTTGGGTTGGAAGGACCTTACAGATCATCCAGTGCCACCCCTGCCATGGGCAGGGACACCTTCCACTGTCCCATGGTGCTCCAAGCCTGACCTCAGACACTTCCAGGGGTCCAGGGGCAGCCACAGCTTTCCTGGGCAACCAAATCCTATGTCCAGCCCTAAAACCCTTCCAATCAATGATGTGTGACCCTCCCTTTAGGAGTCAGCATCACTTCAGGAATTGAGGCATGCCTCTATCTTTCATTCAGCACAAGGACAATCACAAATGAGTACAATTGTAGATGAAGGGAGAGCAGAGAACAGAACAACAAGAAGAAAACCTCACTAAATAATCTGCTAGGCAGCAGAAAGGATCCAGCCAGCACAGTAGACATAGAAACCACTGGAATAATTCCAAGATCAGTGCAAATTGCCTGGGCAATATGAACAGAAAGTCTTGAAACACAGGGATGGTACTGGTAAGAAGTGCATAAAGCAGTATCAAAGAACAGCTGTAAAAAACAAACTCTAAATAAAGTTGTTTTCATATAAATTAAGGAAAGGGAAGAAACAGAAGCAAGTCTGGCATTCATGTTCAGAATGTCAAAAAAATTGGCAGACTAAGTGACTTCCTGAGACCCAAGGAGCTCAGGGAGTGAAAAGGAGAGAAACTTAATACTTCTTACAGGGAAGATTTTCAAACCAAGAAGTCTGCATCATCAGCAAGGTGAAGAAGGGTGGGAGGGGAGATCTGGATAGAGAAGAAAGGTTGGAAATAAATTGCCTACAAGAATCTAGGAAAAAACTGACAAGAGACAACTATCTTGGACATCAAATAGTGCAAAGGCAAACATTAGGCTGAACTAAAGTCAGGCTAAAACCTTATGAAGGATTTTCTGAACTAAAAAAGTCTTGTGAAAAAGGAAAACAAAAAATATAAGATGCAGGATGACTCCAGCAAGAACAAGATAAACTAAAATTAGGCAGATGTAAGCACAAAATCCCAAAGTCTGAAATTATTTCAGTTAATGGCAAAGTCAATAGATATTTGTAACTCAGGAGGATTGAAATAGTCTTCCAGACAACAACAGCGTCTTTGAGGACTAGATATATAGTGGTGGGATGAAATCCAGCTATTAAAAGAAGTTGTAAGTCTGGAGAAGGGAAATGAGAAAACATGCTGCAGATAAGGAATGTGTAATTTAAAAATAAAGAGCCATGCCATCAGTATAACTCATTTACAGCTAAGGGAGCTCCTGAAATTCAAACAGAGCCATAATGTTAGTTCATAAACCATCAAGAAAGACAGGGACAAGTTGTGCTCTAAAACTCAGGTGTTCACCAAGCAGTAACACACACAAAGGCTTTTATAATAGGTGGCTTTGGAGCTAGCATGAAGAATTAAAACCCCCACAAAAGGAATTTGTTAGATTTCTACATTTCAAGGCTAGTATCTATTACATGATATTTTCTGAAAATGGTAAAGAAAAGTTCTAAGTCTGATCTCATCCTGCTGTACAACACCACAGCTTATTTTGCTGTTACTAATAACTCTCAAGTGGCTTAAAAAAGAAAACATTGACATAAACTCTGACGTTTTCTTGAGCTTGTTGCTTGAGGCTTCTTGACTCGGTAAAACTGTTCCCTCACTGGGTCAGATGAGACAAAAAAAAAAAAAGTCTTTCTTTTCCAGGGACAAGCTGTATTTCCGGTGAGCAGAATGAAGTGCTGAACAACTGAAGGCACTGTCACATTAACACAGCAGATGCATTTAATCAAAGAAACGCATTAAACAAGCTCAGCTCCCAAAACTGAATCAATAGGTACGTTTTTGAACTATTTAACAAAAAAGTTAGTATGTAAATACCCAATCCAGCCAATCCAGTATGTAAATACCAACTCCAGAATAGGAAGTTAGAGGAACTCCTCCAGTGAGTACAACATCTCACAGCTCCAGCAGAAAGCTGACTCACATACACAGCCAGGCTGCCTCTGCTGCAGACATCACAGCTCCTCTGCCTGGAAAGGAGTACTCCACAGCCCATGTGCTTTTCTTGAAGGGTGGGAAAACATCTTTTTGCAGTTCTACAGGATTCTTTGAGGGTACACAAGTCCCCAAAACATATCTCTCCCTCAAGGCTGGCTCTAGGCAGAGTCCTAGAGGTACAGGAGAAGCTTCATTCCGTACACCAGCGGGTCTTTAAAGAGAACCTCAGCTTTGACAAGTTCAATACACACCAAGATCAGTCAGCTCAACACAGCAAACTCTTTTTTCTCCCCTGAGGCAAGCAGTAAATATGTAGTCACAAATAAATACACAACTTACAGCTTTCATTACAGAGTTTCTTATTAGGTAGCATCCTGGTTAAAACACAGGATTGATGGGTGAAACTTTTAAGTTAACTTCAATGGGTAGATTAAAAGTTTCCACTTCCTTATATTATGCACTGAAAGTTTGGGTGTAGAATATGATCTGTTGATCTTTTGTTATCATGGTGTTAAGGAAAGGAAACTTAACACCTCAGGTCATTCTTTTGATACCATTTGCAACTTCACCATCTGTCTTCCTGATTACAATTTTTTTATTATTAGAAACAAACTGTCTCTCTAGCACTAGTTTCACTTCTTTGTGCAGATTTATCCATTTTTATAGATATATACATGCACACCCAGGCATGCCATCACCACAGGAAAAATAAACCCACACCACATCTGTGCATAAACTTAACCACTGAGGAGTTTATAATAAGCCAGCTCAGTGAATATCAGGGAAAAGACCTCTGCCCAGTTCTCTGTACCCTGTAAGTGGTGCCTTATCTGTTTTTCCACTCCCACCAAGTAATCAGCAAAATTACAGATAATTATGTGCTCAAATACAGAGCCCAGCTGCTTTTTCCAACCTGGTTACAAGTTGAAATCATTAATCGATGTCACACACATTGGCATTGATCTCTCATGCATTATCCTCATTAATAAGTTTCTTCCTTTCTGAAGATAAAGAAATTAACTACCAGTCATCAATTATTCAGAAATACAAGTTCACCTTTAGACATGAGCACAATGACACCTTCAAAATGCTAAAAGGACCTGGATCTAGCAGTTTATTTTAACAATGCTGGATCATGGAAA